ACATGATGGTGAATCACGTAGTGTTATTTGTTTTTAGGTTCAAACAGATTTAACACGGTCATCGCAATATATTTCCGAAATATTGACTCCCTTGTAATATGAAGTTTAATTGGAGAATTTCAGAAAAATTGAGATAACGGTGTCAGATCATTGCGAACCTAAAACCAAATATTACCATTGCAAATTGCACTCAACATGGCAAACTAGCCCTGCCTAGATGCTTTTCTAGGTGGATGGTGATCCCTGGTCCATTGGATGAAATCGGAGATCTCAGCAAAAGTCTTATAACTCTTGAATGGAGCAAGTTAAGGATATTGGCATTGTGTAGATAGAAATATCGATAAGTCTCATTAAAAGTCTAAATTGAAAGGAAAATAGCTATAGAATATTGTTTTTGATAATTTCCATCAAGAGCTCACATAATTGGTCGATTACTGACCAATCAAATTTCAATATAGTTCGATGACCGCGTATCTTCTCTCTTGAATGGCGAAAACTGCAGGTCTCTATGATGTTGCTACCAAAGGTAATTAAAGAAAACAGTAAAGTACATTATTTTATGAAATGGATAGTAAATTCGTCCTATTTAAGTATAAAAGTAACAAAAAAAGGTAGACAGATATAGGTTGAATGAAAATTGAAGAGAAGAAATCCATTTTGAGAGTTTAAGGTATCTATTTAACTGCATAGTTTTTGTACACAGAATGGATATTAACTTTCCATATTTAGGAGATAAATTGATAGGGAACAACGAAAAAGCACATATCCGAACAAGTACAGTATTACAGTGAGAAGACATGAATATTAAATTATTCGACGAGATTGAGAAACGCTATAACAAACAAACCGATTGTCTTAATTATTAGAAAAAAGAAAACAAACTAATATGATATTGCAATCGATTCGTAACACAAATCATTAGCTGTCTTCTGTTTTCATTTACTATGAGAACTAATCTAAAACAGGTCTTCTTTTATCTAGAAGAATACTTCTATTAAAATTTAGGAAATGAAATCGAACGACTTGTTGTTTAGAGAATTATTATTAGTGATTCATCAGAAAAAAATAGAAGAACAAATAGATATAGTATTATTAAAAAAAATTTTCATTATATTGTCTTAGAATTCGATCTCAAACGTGCATGAATACTAAATTGAATTGTCAGATATTCGCTTGTGAATATATGTGTAAGAAACAACTCGAGTACTCATACTGTCAAGTCTTACTGACTTTATGAGTTTTTTTTTATTAGGATGATGTTATTCAATTTTCTATATTATCCAAATATATCCTATTTGACTTTTTAGTATTTGTTGATACGGGTATTCGAACAGGAACTGATGTATTAAAAGCACTAGCATTAGGTGCGCAAGCTGTTTTTATTGGTCGACCAGTTTTATATGGATTAGCTTGTGGTGGACAGGATGGAGTTAAAACAGTATTAAATATATTAAAACGTGAATTAATGTATGATATGGCTTCTTGTGGAATAACATCAATTGATCAAATTAATAAAGATATTCTTTATAAGCATACATAATAATTTTATGTTATATATAACAGTATAAATTCGACAATGCTTCTCTGTCACAATATATGTTTCAACTTTGCTAGATAAATGTCTTGAGACGACTTCAATTGTGTATTGTTTGATTTGAAATTCGAAATAGTTCATTGTGTTTATCCGAAGTACAAATGATAGAAATAAAGATTTACAATTGAAATGTTTCAAGTTGAACAATGGGTATGGGTGTGGGTAGATGTTGGTATAGAGAAGACCTACGTCCATATTCGAAAGATTAAATGAACAAAAAGCATTACTTGTAACCACAGAAATCAAAGGTGGACGAACGAAACATAAAAGAAAAAATCTGGATTAGTGGGAATATCGATATGAAACTAGCTAAGTCGTAATAGAATGAAAGAAAAGAACTTGTAGCAGTTTTTAAATTTGCATGTCTTTGAAAATCAACTACTGATGCTGAACTTTAGTTACGATAATTGAAATCTAGTGCAGCAGAATTAACCGCTTTCGTCATATGTTTTACAATAAAGAATCGCGTTTTCTA